AAAGACACTACCGCAACATCGTCGACCTCCCGAAGTCTCTGTTGACACCCGCAAAAGAAGTCCGATTGTTACGATTGGGGGCAGAGATCAACTCTTTGGAACCCCCTGAGCGCCTCGAAAACGGACTCAGAATTAAGATTGCAACCAAACAGGCGCCCTGGCAAGACCTTCGAAACGGGGTAACGTCAGAAGAACACGTGGCCATCCGAGAACAGGATGCACAGATGATGGTCACGGTGTTTTCCTGGCGGTCGGATAACCCGTTTATCTCTGCGTCCCCGCCGGATAACACTAAGCGGATCAACACCAAAAACATCGACGTAAGAATATGGGGTAAAGCATATGAGTTGCGAGAGAAGGTTAACAACAGTCGTATTTTTCATCACCACTTCAGGACACCCTTCACCACTTCAGGATGCAGCCTGCCTAAACAGGTGGTTTTCAGGGTCTTCGGACCTTTCACCACTTCGGGACCATTCAGGTCTGAAAATCCTGAATGGTCCTGAAGTGGTGAAAGCTCCGAAGACCCTGAAAAACACTTGTTTAGGCAGGCTGCATCCTCAAGTGGTGAAGGGTGGTTTTCATGGTCTTCGGACCTTTCACCACTTCAAGACTATTCAGGATTTTCAGACTGCCCAAAACTCTTACTTGACCACTTCAGGCCACCCTTCACCACTGCAGGATGCAGCCTGCCTAAACAGGTGGTTTCAGGGTCTTCGGACCTTTCACCACTTCAAGACCATTCAGGATTTTCATATTGCCCAAAACTCTTACTTTAGAATTTTCATTCTTGAATTTTCAGCTACCAGATAACCGATTGTGATGAGTTGCACGTACCCCAATATGTGCCCGATGAGATCCATCATTTAATCACGGACATTCTAAAAGAATACAAAGAAGCGATTAGTGTGACAGACACTGACATCGGCTTGTCGTTGGTCATACAACATGAAATACAAACAGGGAATCATTCCCCGATTCACTGCAAGCCCTACCGGTACTCCCTGGTAGAACGGAAGAAGGCTCTCGAACGGATTCGGGAATTCGAAGCAAGCGGTTGGATCGAACCTGCCACTAAACCTTGGTCATTCCCGGTAGTGTTAGTACCGAACAAGAACGGATCGATTCGCATATGCATCAATTATCGTAAACTTAATGATATCATGATCAAGGATGTGTACCCCCTCCCCCGGATTGATGACTTGTTGGATGCGATTGGGTGTGCTAATTATTTCAGTAAGTTTTATATTCGGCATGGCTTCCATCACATTCTGGTTAAGGAGGAAGATTAGTCAAAGGCTGCCTTCGTATTGTTTGAGGGCACGTTGCAGTGGGTTCGGTGCCTGATGGGTATATGCAACGTGTCGGCCACATTCCAATGAGCTATGAACATCACGTTCCAGAACTTCATCAACAAGACGCGGCTCACGCAAGGGATGATCAACTTCTGCGTCATCGTGTACATGGACAACATCCTGGTTTATTCGGAAACCTATCATGGACATGCGCAACACATCGAATGGAAACTGGGCGCCTTACGAGACGCCGGATTCAAAATTGCGCTCGAAAAGAGCGAATTTTTTCTCTCGGAAATCTCGTTTCTAGGGTACGTCATGACACGTGGAGGACTGCAGCCTGACTCAAGGAAGGTCGCGGCCGTGAAGGAAGCTCCTGTTCCTACGTCACTAACACAGGTCCGAGCCTTCTTGGGACTGGCTTTCTACTATCGATGGTTCATCAAGGGCTTCGCCGCGATTGCACGTCCTTTAACGAATCTGTTACGGAAGGACCAGCCCCTCAGTTGGGACGCTGAGTGCGAGCAGGCCTTCGCGACCCTCAAGGAAGCTTTAGCAACAGCACCTATTTTGATCCGACCAAACCCCTCGAAGCAGTTCATTCTCATCACGGACTGGCAACCGGAGGTTATTTCCGCTATTTTAGTGCAGAAAGGGAACGATGGTCGAGAACACGTCATCGAGAATGTGTCACGAATGGTGCCAGACGAGCGGAACAACGACTCAACACCACAAGGCGAATGCTACATGGTAGTATCGGGAATCAAACACTTCCATCTGTATCTATACGGACAAAAGTTCCTCCTTGTCACCGATCATGAACCCCTGTTAGCGCTAAAGAGACTCATCAATTACACGGGCATGATTGGACGATGGGCAGTGCGCCTACAAGAGTATGACTTCGACATCATCCATCGAAAGACAGAGAGGCAAGGCAACGCGGACGGAATGACACATCTGCATCGACCCGCTAAAGTACCTAAGGCAGAAGAGATCATTTCGTGGAAGGAACCAGAATCAGCGAACGGGCCCAAGTACGGACGAGTGGTAGTTCTCCCATGTGGCAAGAAGCAGATTGGTGGCAATGGGTGACAGAGGTAACCCTACAACCCCTCTCTCTCCCCTCTCCTCTTCGTCTTTTCTCTCCTTGCCTAATAAATTTTGTTACTTTTGCGTTCTCTCGTATATTCGATCTCCATGCGTCCAAACGGGGAAGGCTATAAGGAATGGATAGATTGTCGACARTRGGCTCGTGCAATYCAATACAGAAATGACAGTAAGTCGTGGCTATGCCCCTTGTGTCGGGTTGACAAGATCCCGACCGAGGMTCACTTTTTGGATGCCACGTCARAAGGATTGGAGAAGACCCGRAAGTTTAAAAGGGTTGAAGTATRGACCGATATCGCTTTGATTGCTACCTTMATGGGTAACCCCCTCTCGGATTTCACCAAGGAAGATCGGAGGAGGGCTAATGAAAGGGCTCRAGATTATCGATGGGTCGAGGGTAGGTTAGAGAAATGGAAGACGGACGGCAGYRGGATTTGGATGGTTGTACCACACCCGTTCATRAGGTATGACTGGGTGAAGAYAGCACACGAGGAAACGGCRGCCCATTTTGCCGTACGGATTACGAAATCAGCAATCGACWAAAATGAATGGTATTGGTCCAATAGTCGAGACGATGTGAAATTCATCGTCGYGAACTGTCAAGTCTGTGCTGTTGATAAGGCGCCGATCCAACCGCCAAGATCGATAGTACCAACAATAGTCGAACGGYCTTTTCAAAGGGTAAGCATGGATACTACCGATATTGTGGTACCCCCTGGTCCTAATAGTTGTGAGTATTCCATCCTGTTGGTATTTGTCGACCATTTTTCGAAATGGATCGAGGCCTATCCATGTCGCACCCGACAAGCCACCGAAATCGCGCAGTATGTTAACCGTTTTCTCGGGATGCACCAGGATACGGAAGAAATCTTGACCGATAACGGGGCAGAATTCAGAGKGGAAGTATTAAGGAACCTGGTCATACACGGTGYCGTGGTGCAGAATACCGCGCCCCACATATCACAATCCAACGGGCTGGTAGAAAACGCAAATAGGGTGATAAAGACAGCRTTGTGACGAAACATCGCGACACGCGACCCCAGACCCTGGCCCGATATCGTAGATCACATCTTGGCGGTCCATCGCGGAACGCCCCACAAATCAACGGGTCTGAGCCCCTTCCAATTAAGGACCAAYAGCGTCGCTTGCGTTTCGATACCGAGCCTCCCTGATGAGTCAATRCTGAACCGACGACCCACGAGGGCCAGGGCTCGAGACAAGGCCAAATGACACTTAGAGCTAATGGAACGGTCCCTCCCCAGATTAGCCCGAAAACGCTAGAAAATGACCGAATTAGCCCACGACTGACAGGTCCGATGCTACAAGGCCCGGAACCACGGCCCCAGTACAAATTGGGGGGCATCGTGCAGTTAAGGAAATGCGCTCGTCAGGGTAAGCTAGCGCCACGATTCTTCGAGCGATTCCGCGTGATTGAGCTCGGACCGCACGGCGTGAACACCTTGCGGCYTGCGCCTGAGGTCTCCGGCAGCCGATCGACTCGACCGATCATCCGCCATGTGTCCTATCTACGTCCCCTTTCTTCTTCCCCATCTTCGCCTTCATCTGACTCCTCCTCCGCTGCGGAAGAGGACGACGACTGCTTATCACCTATYTGTCCTTCTTCATCTCGTTCTTTCTGGGATACCCCATCCACGCCACCATCGTCATAAGCTTTTTCACGGAGCGAGCCCTCGGCGGCCATCTCTTAACGCCATGGGGATACATCTCGGCGATTCGGCAGATGTGCCATCCACGACTCAACCAGRATCTTCTACGGCTAGCGCAGTTCTTCTGCACTTCGGGGGTGTATGCAGCGGCAGAGTTTCGATTCGCAGGCAGTCCRCAGGCGGCGATACTGGCAGAGGCGGTGGWTGTTCATCGACGATCAGCTCCAGGAATCAKCCACGTGTATACGGTCATCAKTTTCAGCGGCGACATCGATACGGTCAATGYGTTCCGACATACARCCATCTGGACGCAACTGAGGAAGTGGGCGCAGCAACTGGCCGGAGAGTGGAACCGCTCTCTTACGCGCCCCGAGGAGAATCTTTTCYCCACGGACRGCGTCGAGCTCGGAGGGATCCGAGCATTTTTGCACGAGCCAGCGGTGGTGYTGCCAGAACTCATCCCCTTCCAGCCTCCCCGATRAACCACTCCCAACTCTCCACTTTTGCCCTCCCATCTTTYTTCCCCCTYTTTTGGCAATCTAGTTTCCACCCTCGTCTCTCGTTTCTCCTAGAACCACTCGCAGTCCCCCTTCTCGATCCTGGGTAGTGGAGACTTTGGCGTGAGCACTTYGTCGAGCTTTCGGTGTGCCTGGTCGGGGTACGAGTCACGTGGGCAAGGGACGAAGACCATCGCGAGTKGAGCGAGTACTTGGAGTGGCTAATAATCCAGGCCWGGAGAACAGACGTGGAGGGCGATCTTCTTGGATTCCTGTTCGGATTGGTGCGGCCCAGCCATCGCCAGCCAATCGTCATAGAGCTTACRATCCCACTCGCGCAGCTAGCCGACAATCTTCCCCTAGAGATCGTCTCGCAAAGTGACGAGAGCCCAGTCCCGCATGTTCTCACGYGGACCTTGGCCCCATACCTTCAGTGGTCARCGTGCCTGGAGGAGCCGGGAAACGACCGCAACCCACCATCGCAGCGGGATTATCTGAGCCCACGAGAGATCATCGATCCCGCCTACTTCCGGGATCGAACGGCCACCGAGGACGAGGCGATAGCGACAGAAGAAGAAGCAGCCAAAGAAGAAGAACAGGAGGAGGACGASRAGGAARAAACTCCCGAAGARGGGAGTTACAGCCAGCACAGCGAAGGGGAGCAAAGTGAGGAGGAGGAGGAGGAAGAARAACAAATCCCGGAGGAGGAAGAAGAAGAAGATCGGGAGAAGCTAGAAGAGTCAGAGTGGGAAGGATTTGAGGAGGAGGTGCGTGCRAAGGCTCGAATACAGGCCCAAGCGCAGAAGAGGGAGGAGATCGTGGCCGGAAAGCGACAGCTGGAGTTTGCCAGTGCAGCAGGTCCACCGACCATCGACAATCCAGGGCGAGATCCAGAGCCGCCCAAGCCTGAACATGGGGACCCAGCTGCCGAGACTTTGGCCGCACCGGCAAGGCGGCGACGAAGTCGATCCCCCTCCCCCTCCACCACCGACCGTCCACCAGTTCGAGCCGGTACTGATGCGGGGCATCGGGCTTCATCCCCGGTCGTTATCCCTCCGTCCCCTTGACCATCTCACCCTCCGCCAGGCCACTACCCGCGTTGTCTTCCCCCGCAACCCCTTCCCCTTCGACACCTTCYGCTTCTTCTAYGCCACCCGTCTTATTGTCACAATCCATCCCCACCCTTCAACCCGATGCGCCCTCCCCGACTTCTACCTCCATATCCTTCTCCTGAGCGCTGCGTGGCGAGGCCACAATATGATCGAAGTTTACTGCATGATTACGGGGAYTATCCCCGCATGCGAAAACTACGACCATTTCCGCACGGCCCTCTTCCGCACCTTCACCACCCTGTACCCAGACTACCTCGCTTCCCTCCCCCAAAATGGTAATCGCTTCCCCCATTTCCACCGGATTGTTCGATATCAAGAACTTCCGAAAACGGTGGCGAGGTTGGATAGTTTCGTGCCCCCTCTCCTGATTAACCGTCCCACTCGCCATGCTCCCATGTATCGTCTTCCCTTCCCTCTCCCCACTGGACACTGGTGATCGGTCTATTGGTGCGGGTGCCACTGCAATGACACGTGTAATCCCCTCCTTGGATTGTCAATGGCCCTTCCTAAGGAATTAGTAGTTAGAGCTTCCATGCCACGCTGGGCAACATCCACACTCATTCAGACGGACAGTGGCACAAAAGGAAAAGCTCCACCTGTCGATCGATTAGAGAAACCGACACGTGTCAACAAGCAAGCAGGAGCTTGCTAATATTAGAACCCCCTGGGTGTCACATATGTGACGAACCACTTTCTGTGGCGCGCGATTTTCTGCGCGATTGCAATGAGGGGTCCTAAGCTGGGAAGGTTGGGCCAATTATGGGAGATTGGGATCGATGGGAAATTGCATCGGTACCCTCGCTTCTTCGTCTTTTGTGTCGATTCTTTTCGGATGGCTGAGTTCGGAGCTGGGTGTGTCCCGGGACGATCGATTGGTTGAGTGGCTGTGTGAGTGGCGCGCTGTCATACGCACCATTAATAAATGTTGACGTCGTTTAATTTGTTTCGGTTTCGGACTTTTAGGCGCGGACATCGAGCGAGAATTTGCTTCGTTCTTTTTTAATTTTCTTTTTGAATTCCTTTTCGAATCTTGTCGAGCCCCGATGGCTCTCGGAATTTCGGACTTTCTTTTCGGAGTTTGTGTTTTTTGTTTTTTTCGCATTAGATAGAAATTTAGGAATTTTGCAATTAGGATTTTCTTTTGCCGCACGGCGTTTTTTGCTTACGTGCTTCTTTGCGCGGCTGCAATGAAACTCAGATTAGTCGGTGCCATTAATCGTGTGTGTAACTGTAATTTTGGGCGGGGACCATTGTAACTGTATCTCTTTTCTTGTGTTTTCGCCTTTCCCTCCCTTCTTCTCTTTCTTTTCGCTGTGTTTTGGTAGCCGCGGTCTGCATGATCGGATCGATGCGTGGAGAGGGGCTACGTCCCCCACGCCATGATTGGGCCATGCAGATCGTAGGCGTTCCTTCTCTAATCTTCTTTCTAAGTCATTGTAATTTCGTGTTCTTCGCGCATGCATGCACGCTATTAATCCCGGTTGCGCGATTAGTTAGCTCTCTTAACCAGTAGTTGGAAGCTCGGGGGTGCGCGATCAGAGAGGGTCGGCACACGAGCGAAGTAAGAGGTGAGTAGAGCAGGAGTCGGGCGACCCGACGAGCTTGTGCCAAACGTGCGGTGTTGACGCGGGCCACGGCGGACTGTGGGCGCGGGCGAACCTGACGGGTGCGGGAGGATTAAGCGGGGTGACGACTTCGTGGGTTGGTGCGCGACGACGGACTGTCCGCATCAGAGAGAGAGAGAGAGGAAGAGGGAGCTGAGGTTGATGGATGCGGATTTGCTGTTTCTTTTGTCTTTTCTCCTTCCATCTCATGTATATAAATTTTGATTTCGGCTCAGGGCGATTTGCCTGTTTCTGTTTTTCGAAATCCGGACTTGGGTTTTTGCTCACACTTGTCTTTGAGATTTCCATCTCAGATATTGTGTCTGTGTGTTGCTGAATGAATGGATGAATGGATGTTATGTCTTATTGTTGATTCTTATGTCTGATCCTTGCCTTTGTTTCTCGTCTTGATGTGCTCGTATGAAGGGTAGGAATTTTGCATAGTCATCAATGTTGTTTCCGTTTTTGCTTATCTTTTGATTGAGCTGTTGTGGTTGTTGCATCTTGCATGCTCGAAAATTACGGAGTGATTAGACGATCAAATATCTGTTGCCCTGCGAACGCTGCGCAAGGACGCGTGTAAACATGATCTGATCTGCGCATTTACACGTGTCCCCGTGCGTCGATTCGTCAACTCCAAAAAGGACCCTTGATTGTAGGAACACTGCTTGATTGGATACGGTCATCCGGGGTCTGCGACGGAGCAATCATCCCGTGCGAACACGCGTAAGCGCGACTCGATTCACGCGGTCGGCACGTTGTTAGGCGTCCACAATAAGTGCGCCGCCTGAAATCTGGGGTTTTGGGTCTTAGGCTCAAAGACAAGTCCGTGTTTTGACGGTGCTCCGGGTTGAGCAGGCAACAAAAATTAGGGGAGCTCAGGGCACCCCTGATTTTGGGCGCGCTGAACTTTACGAGCAACTTTCAAAGACGACGAGATGAGTGGCCGCATTAGGCGCGACCAGGGCCGAAATGAAGCCTCTAATTTTTGTCCATATTATTACCACAATTAAAGATGGGAAAAAGGGATCAAGGCCAGAAGTGGAGGAAGGAAAAATATAATATCCCTTAATTTCTTTATTTTTCGCGGCATTTGATTCGAGGGGGAATATCCTTGTTATTTTGTGTTCCCGGCAGAGAAATTAAAAACATGGAAAAAGATTAAACATGGAAAAAGAGGAAAGAAACAAAAGAAATTCGACCATTCATCTAAACTTTCTCGGAATTTAATTTTGGGGAATTTACGGTTGATTTGCAATTTCTGACAATAGAATTAAGGAGAAGGAAGAATGATAAAAAAAAACGATGAAAGGGGCGGGAACCCACGACTATTGAGAGATTGGCCTTATTTCGCCTTGAATACCCGCCGTCAGCACTGACCCTGGATTGATCATTTTCCCCGGATTCTAACAGTTTTCACTTCTGCTGATGGTCGAGGAATCCTGCGTCGCTTTCCCTGTTGCCTGAATACTAACGTTGCCACAGTTGGGGTGTTCTGAGAGCGGGAGTCGCATGGACCACATGGGGTGGTGCTACCTTGGGTAGAGAGTATGGGATGTGGCTTGGTACGAGTAAGGGGGTTCAAAGATATTCTACACTGTCATGGAGTAGCTGCATCCTACGGAGTCCGGCGTGTTTCTGGTTCGGTATGGGCATGGCGACCCTGGGGACGCAGCGGTGATCTATGTTCAGGACCAGAAACCCTACGACAGTTTATTTCAGGTTTGGAGCCAGCCGCGGTCTGGAACCGCTGCGCCGCCATATTTCAGGGTCGGCGTCGGTTTGGCACATCCCACGATAGCATTTTCACGCTCGGCAGCACTACGGAGGCTTATTTCAAGTACGGGACCTCGACGGCAGTTATTCCCGAATCGATGCATCACGGATACTTATTTCACGTTCGGCGCTACCACGGCAGTTTGTTTCATGATTGAGGCCATTACCGAGACATATTGCGGGCACTGTAGTAATTCATTTCCAGGGCCGGAACCGGTACGACAGTTGCTTCGGGTTCAACATCAGTTTATTTCGGACTCGCTCCTACCATGATACCTCGTTTCAGCTTCGGTGCCGTTACCGTGACTTATACTCAGGTTTGGGACACTACGGTGATTTATTACCTGGCCGCGGCCACTACAGCAGTTTATGACAGGGTTGGAACTTTAACATCTTGGATGCACGGTCCTGAGATGGCGTGATACAACAGCCTAGCTCTGCTCTTCAGGTTCGGTCAGACTCGGCACCAGTGCGGTGCAGGCTATTCAGGTTCGGGATAGTACGGCATGTTGCTTGCCCCTATGTGGCAGCAGGTCCGYGGTCCCTATTTCTSAATGATTGTTTGAGTCCGGCCCCGGAACCAGCGGAATCGGCTACTGCAGTGGGGACAGACATTCAGGCGCAACTGACCAGCGGATTAACTGAGAACTGGTCCGGCTGTGACGTGCCTGGGCCTTAAGGGCCTTGCTACTACGACACCCATTTGTTGGCTCGAGGGCGGTGCTCACGTACCACCCGCATTGAGCCTGTGCTGAGCCTGGTGCCGATGGTCTCGGTTGTACAAGCAGATGTTGAATGAATATAGGGCCGGATAGAGGAGAAAGGGGGACAGTGTGCAAGGCGTACCCGTGATACCGGGCTCAGGGTGGAAACATCGATGCGCAGACTGTTGCACGGGGGATGAGGGGAGAGGACTGGTGGATGGCATGCCAGGCGTACCCAACGCACAGCTATTGCGGAGCATTGCAAGCACGGGGGAGACGCGTCGGCACTCAGGCGGTTACTCGCGTGTGAGAGGGAGAGTGAGAGAGAAGGGGACTGCATGGCGGGAGTGAGAGACAGTGTGTGTGCGTGAGGGTGTGCACTCGAATCAGAGAACAGGCAGATGCGAGGAAGAGAGCCAACAAACCAGCGGGTGATAGACTAGTGGGGACAGCGCTGGCTAGCTGGAGGAAAAATATATATTATTATTAATTTTATTAAAATCCCATCCTCCTGGACCTAATCATGACCAGGTACATCCAGACTTGAACACACGGCGCAGGGAAAAAGGTGGTAGAGTCATCCGAGCTATGCAGGGAAACGGGAAAGAGAGAGTCCGCACGTTCTTTTTCACATTTCCAAGCCATATATACATGACTCTGTTCACGTCCAGGAACTTTCAAGTTCGAGTCTGGAAACTAGCCTGCCTGGCAGGAATGACGAATCAAACTTGGACAGGTGAGTGAAGCAGCCAGTCAGAGAGCGGGCGATAGTGTGTGAGAGAAGGAGAGCGAGAGAGGACGAATGGGTGAGAGAGAGACAATGTGACTTAGAGAGAGCGTGCCCAACTCTGCTTTCCCATTTACAAAATTCTTTGCACCTGGCCCTAAGCGAGGTCAGGTTCATCAGACAAGGAATC